GCCGATTATATTATATCGGCTGGCTTAGCCGGCTAAGCCGCCTTAGCCGCGGCTGCCCCAGCCGGCTTGTAACACTATCCTCCTGTTTTATTTTAATGAAACCTAAAATGTACTACGTATAAAACAGCAAAACATATAAAATCAGTAATTGATCAGAATCAGCCAATCATATAAAGTCTCCCTATGAATTCCGAGTCGACTACACCGTCGAATGTCCCCTTCCTTGCCTTATGGAATCATTTCAAAGATGAATTACTGGCGTCTGATGCTGATTCCTTTGAAGATCTTAAACGAGAAAGGGTGATCAATTTCTTTGGAATCCCTTGGGCTATTGAAAAGGTTTGTCAAGCCACTGGTAATTTTTCTTTTTTCGCCTGACTAATAGTTGTACGCGAGTGATTTTAACACATTTCTGTTTTTTTTGCTATATTAGCTTATGGTGTTTGGGTTTTTCATCTGCATGGACTCATTCTTATATACTTTTACAATCCTTCCTTTGCGTATATTGCTAGTACTGTATAACATGACCACTAAATTCATATCAAATTTCAAAAATGAAGAGAAAAGGTATTTCCTTTTTCTTAATATTTAAAATCGTGTTTTTATAATAATCACTGACTCTGTAAACTTTTAAAGATTCATCCACCTTAATATATCACAAAAATGTGATTTGCTCAAAGGGGTCTTAATCATTCTCGTTTGCATTTCATTACAAAGTGTTGATGCGGCACAAATGTATCATTCGATTCGCGGCCAGTCTGTAATCAAATTATACGTTATCTTCAATGTTCTTGAAGTAAGATATCTGCAAATAATAGGATTGTTAATGGAATATACTAGACTATAATAAAACATATGAATCTCTGGTTTAAAACTGGTGTGGTTTTTATTCATTTTATTATAATTTAATACCTTACAAATATTATTTTTAAAACCCAATTTAGATTTTCGATAAGCTTTGTTGTGCGTTCGGAGGTGACATTCTAGATTCTCTGTTTTCTAGGTCTACACTTGGTGATAAAAAATCCGTACCTAATACTGGTATACACTTGTGGCCCATCAGCCATTTCTGTGCAGCTTACTTCTATATTTGTATCCTTTTTTAAAATTTAATAAATTTAATAGAAAAATGACTTTGTTTATAATTATATATATTTCCTTAATTATATACATTAAAACTTTTACAGTGTCTCATACGATAATTTTGTTTTATCTGGCAATTACCCTTAACGTAGCAATTAATTCATACTCAAATGCATTACTCACGCTATTGTTATCAAATCAATTTATCGAAATAAAAGGATCGGTTTTTAAACGGTTTGAAAAAGAAAATTTATTCCAACTGAGCTGTTCTGGTAAATTTACATTAATTGTATTTGACAATCTAGTTAAGTTTGTATTTAATAATAAATTTACCTATTATCTTTAATACTTTCATATTACAGATATTGTAGAGCGATTCCAACTCTCCCTTTTTTTAACTGTCATTACAGCACGCAACCTGATTGAGCTTTCTGGTTCTCCAATATCTCCCTTTTCTATTTTACCAACATCTTTCATTCCTTTATTTCCCGCAATGACAACTATCGAAACACTTCTGACTCCAGTGATCATAGTATTTGCATCTGAATTATTAGTCGACTGGCTAAAGCATGCCTTCATCACTAAATTCAATCAAATCAGACCAAGCATTTATGATCGTTATATCGACATACTCTCCAGAGATTTAGTAGTTGGAAATGAGCAGAAATCTGAAAATCAAAAAGTAAAAATAAATAATTTTGAATTATGATTATTTATTTATTTGATTTCTAATCTTTTATTTCATTATTCTTATTTTTTTAGAAATTTACTGATCCATCTTTGATGGTCTCACGCCGAATCGGTTTCGCTGCACTCCCACTTGCATGCTTAGTAAGCTTCAAATAAATAATCCCTATGTTTGGTGCCTCTACAATAATTAATTAAATGTTACATAGACGATTCGAGTTTCATCACAAACTATGACGATGATTTCGGATTCAATCCAGGAGATGGATTCTGAAGAACAATCAAATTTTCCTTTTACAATTGTTTTCACACAACCTAGTGGCGTATGGATCTTTTGTGGCTTTGCCGCATTTGTGATGTACTTATCCTGTATTTTTTTTTTAATTTTATGATCTAATTCGGTTCAATTTTATCAAATTTTAATAATATAATTTCCTTTTTTATAGATTAACTTTCATAAAATTATTAGTTGGAATTAATATTCTTGGGTTTGCCAACCGACGATATGCGAGCATGGAACGTCGTGAAGCCGAAGAACTAGCTAGAGCAGAAGAATTAGATGCTAAAGTAGCAAAAGAAAAGGAGAATGTAAAATACTTATTTTTATTGAACCATCCATTTCTAGTTAAAATTGATTGAAATAAATGTTAATTGATTTCTTTTTATAGCAATTAAACAATGAAATTACTGACGACCCTAGAGATAATGTTTTAGGTAAACAAAAGCAGGTTATTACGTTAGACAATATTGATCGCTATACGTTATTTAAAAGCCGTATTCCATGAATATTATATGGTCTGTGTTTTCGTCTTTAATATTTGTTGAGCAAGTGAATAAATTAATCATATCTTTAGATCAAGAAAATTATTTGAAAAATCATTGTTTTATAAATCATCTAGACTAAGTCATGACATATCTAATAAAGTTGTGCTGACTAAAATTAGGATAGAATAGAGTAAAAGAGCTTTGCTACTAATAAATAATTTACTGAAATATTTTTAATGAAAGTTTTTCTATCGCTATAAACTGTCTGTAAACCAGAAATTTTGTTACCATATTATATAAGGTTGTAAAGTTGCCGCAATGTTATGCAATTTTAAGCTTCGAACACGAATTTTCGTAATTTAATGCCGGTACATGAAATTTAATTTACCTGGCAATGTACTTTAATTCTGGTCAATCCTAAACATTTGTCCTGGAATAGTAAATCAGCTGATTTAGATACACACTTAAAAATCATTCTATTTTGATGTCATCAATCTAACCTCCAGACCAAGAAATGGAATTCCTCATAGGCATAACGGGAAAAGACTTCGTGCTTACCGCTGCGGATACTTCAGCAGCACGATCGATTACCGTCATGAAGTCTACAGAGGATAAGTCCCGCGATCTCAACAAGCATAATATCATGTTGTACTCTGGTGAATCGGGGGATACTGTCAATTTTGCAGAATATATCCAGAGAAACGTTAGACTATATGGAATTAGAAATGGTATCGAATTAACACCCAAGGCTGCCGCTACTTTTACAAGAAAAGAATTGGCAACAAGTTTGAGAAGTCGGGTGAGCACCTTAAAGTTAACATAGATAATCAATAATGCTATTTTGCCGGCCAAATAATGTAGCCAAAATTTAAAAATTTAGCTATTTGATTATAGCAAAATAACACGAATAAATTTAAATTTTAAATAAACTTTCTTTTTTTGATTGCACTATTGCTAATTTATATACCATATGATTTATAACCAGCATCCCTATACAGTTTTCCTTCTCATTGCTGGATATGATATAACGACATCCAGGCCTCATTTGTATTGGATCGATTATCTCGGCTCTTCTGCCGAAGTACCCTTTGCTGCTCATGGATATGGTGCTTATTATTGCATGTCGATTTTGGATAGATATCACCATCCAGATCTTACCCTCGATGAAGCAAAAGTTCTAATCAAAAAATGCATAGACGAACTAAAAAGTCGATTCGTTATCAATCTCTTAGACTTCAAGATTAAAGTTACAAATCAAGATGGAATTCGAGAGATTACAATCTGAAAAGATTAAAAAATATAACAGATAATACGATTTGTATTTGAAATTGATGCAAAAAAAAGAAAGATACGAATTTAAAATAAAGGATGACAACACATTGTGTCATAATATTTTTTCTAATAAAATAATGCATTGCCATGTAATTTTTTTATTGAAATACAAGTTAGCTTTTTTGATTTTTTATTTTCTTTTTTCATAATGAATTTTATATAATATAATTGCTGCCAAAAAAAAAAATTCAAATTCCAAACTTGAAATATTTTATTTGGGTCATTATAATTTAAAATTCTGGATAAAAAATTTTATTTAATATTTAGAAAAGATTAAATTTATTATTTTTAAAAACTAACATATAAAAAAAAAAACATTATAGTATTAAATCATACTAATATAGTTATATATCTCTACAATCACCTAATAATTACAAATCTTATCCCAATCTGTTATATCTAATATGATAATCTAATCCAACAAACAAATAGTCACAACTTCTTAAATATACCATACTGGTCTCTATAGAATACACTTCTCAATTTTACCAAATCTTATAATCTTAAAATCACCTTTCATAAAGTAAAAGCACATCAGAATAGTATATTTAACAACAAAGCTAATGAACTAGCCCATGATCACCTCAACACACCACTTCTTATATTTAACTGCCACAATGTTTATAATCCTCAATATACTTTTTATTTAGAAGACTTTCCCCTTAAATTTCTAGTATATCGTAGTATCTGAACCATATATTATACAAAGATCTTTGCTTTTTGGTCATCACAAAACCATTTCTAGTCTTGGATACAAATCTCTTAGTATATAAACTGGAATGCAACCTGGCTTTATCTTAATAATAACAAAAAATCTCTAACTTTGCTCACAGTTTTCAATCCTCTATACTTAAAATATTTAAAATTAAACTTCTTACTAATAAACTTCCTGCACCTTATATACTGCATAAAAAAAACTATTTCTACCTAAACACTTGCTATATATGCCAACAAATTAGTACTTTATTATATTGGGCTTTGTGCCCATTTTCTAACTAACTTTATACACTTATCAAAAACTCTTTACAACATACTTTAACTACTAATAAGCTTCAAGCCTCTTTATCCCAAATTAATCTTCTATATACCAAAATTATTAACCTCAATAGCTTGCTAATACACAACTCTTTTAACAAACCTTCTATATTTTTCACACTTTCTGGTTTGGTCCTTTTTGATATTATATATACAATACAAGATTTCACTACTTCTAATCAAATAGCTAGTACAATCTGTATACAATTTCTTCTTCATATTAACAAACAACTCTACTCTGATATCTGGATCTCTTATTGTAGCTTAAGACCCTAACCTCAATCTATACAGCACCAACAATCTACACTACTCAATTTTACAACCTATATACCCTCTATATCCGATACTTCTAATACTATTTTTAGTATATCTTTTTTAAAAATAATATATTAGTATTTCAACTAGATTAAATATCATACACACTTTTTACACATTTTTAATCTATTCTAAATTTAGATAAGCTTTGACCACTTTAGTAGGTTTAGACTGCAGATAAATATTTAGACTTAATTTATTAGATTCTAGATATCTAAGTTTTTATTCTTAGCACTAGACTTAAAATATAAAACCTTTTTCAATTATGTAAGATGTTTTTATTAAGTTTAATAAAGATAAGAGCAAGGTTTTATTTTAAATATTAAAAAAAATAATAATAATAATTACAAATCCTATCCCTTAATATGTAGACCAATACAGGCAAATTTGCCTGCGTTTTTGCACTTTTTTAGCTCTGATTTACTTTTTTA